AAGTGAGTCCTTCAATTCATTCTTTCTTTTCAGTTTCATCGGTTCCATATGGTCTCATTCACATATTTAGAAGTTTTTTTGGATTAGAGCCCTTTGATTGTTGCTCAATTACAGTCGCTCTCAAATTCAGAAGAATGTTTCATTTTCCACTTTTTTCCAGAAAAACTCTCATGTTCGAATTATCGCGCGTTCGTGGTGACGTTGGCTCATTGAGTTCTGAATTTCGACTCTATCATCTTGATCTGAAACGTGGATGTGATATGGTGAGTGGTTTGGTTTGGTAGAATTTTTCTTTCTCTCAGTGTGAAGATTTCAAAGTGAACAAAAAGGTTTGCGGTTCGTTCACTGGGCTGAATTTATTCAATAGGGAGAGAAGTTGTTACCTGTAGTTGATCTATTCATTCATTTGCATTGGCTGTTCGTTACGTATGCGAAAATTTTCGCTCGCGATGGTCGGTCATCTTTTTCCAGCAAAATTCTCTAAATGAACACAGGAAAGTTTTACGAAAATCTTTCAGTGTGCTTCTAAGGTGGATGAAGATACGAGGCGTTTCCATTTGGTTGCGAGTAAATATGAAACGGATAAATGCAGATTGAAGGTTTTTTCTTCTGTTTTTTTCAGTGTCATTCCTGAATGTCACCATTCTCATCAAACAGTTTTCACATTCAATAAGCCATACAATCAGTGTTTTTTGCTGAATTCAGTTATTTTAATTGAGCAATGCCAATCCATCGGTGGCCTACCTCCTCACCGTCACATAACGACGTTTTTGATTTCAGGAGCAACTGATCGCAAAAGATGAAGAAATGGCACAGTTACGTGGCGTAATCGATAGTAAAACTCGCCAATTGCTCGTTGCAGACCGAGATTTGCATCTTGCAAATGAACGGGTGATCAGTATCCAGAAAAAATTAGAGGACAAATTATTCGTTGGTAAGATTACAGATATTTTGTTGCTTCATCAAGACTATACGTTAATGCTCGCGCATTCGTAAATATAGCTGATCGTGAGTTATTTAAGGCATTCAAATGAATGCTAGCAAACGATTTGT